TTTGATTAAATATTTAGAAACGAACGTTAATGCGATTTGTTTTATATTGATAGTTAAAAAAATTATAAAGAAAAACTTGGGAAAGTAATCGAATCTTTTATTTTGATGCATATAGTCAAATATTTTTTTTTTGATTCTGAATCGAGTATGTGATACTATTACGTTAAAAGGGAAATGAATCATTTGATGGGATCTTTATTTCCATGTTTGCTGATCTATGATTTTATTTGCATTCCAATAAAAAAAAATCATAATTTGTACGTATTAGGTACATATAAAAATATGTTATATTATATCTAATACAAATATAGCATGATCTTAAAAAAATTCAGAAATAAAAATATTTTACGTCCCAAATATATTAAAAAAAAAACTTACATTCACAGTAATTACTAATTAGTAGAACAAAATCAAATATGAAGTTGAATAAATTTTTGATTATATCGCTTAAAATCGGATAATGGACAGGAAATAAACAAAAACGCGGCCCATATAAATCTGAATTAGGCTTTATAATTTAAAAACCAGGCCCAAATGTATTGAGTCACTGGTTCGATCCGGTTCAGTAATTTTGACCGGTATTTCTCTTCGTCGTCACCTCACTCACTCTCCCCTTTGTTCATTGCAATTCTCCGGAGAGAATTTATAAATCGTCGAGTTTTTTAGATTCTCGTCTCAGTTTTCTCCTAATGCTAATACCCAGGTTGAGAAATCTCCTATCGATTATCGAATCATCATCATCATCAAATGCCACAAAAGTAGCGAAAATAGCTTTGTCTTCGTCCTTCAACACAACCCATTTCGCTGCTTTTCATTCGACGCCTGTTTTGTCTGAGAAATCGAGGAAAAATTCTGCTTCTGTAAGTAGCAAAGATGATAAATTTTTGTCCTTTCAGTGTAACTAGACGTTTTGATGCTTAGATCGATTTTTTTTTCCGCAGGGTGGTAAAGTTTTTGAAGACGAACGAGCTTCAAAGGTATGCAAATTTGTGAGCTTTATGTGTGATGTGTAATTCTTTGAACAACACTAATGCTTCAAATTTATAAACTTTTTGATTAAGGATCATTGATTCACTCAAGAATAGGAACTGTTATAGAGGAAGAGAGTTGTGTAATTTGCTTTATCTATTTCAAACTCATTTGAGAGATGGAGTTCCTCTAAAATCTGTAAATGTTGATCCCAGATCACTGTAAGATTCACATGTACCGTTAAGGAGAAGCGTTCTGATGCTAAAAAGGCTCTAAACAATCTTCTCTTCCACACCAGAGGAAGTAGAGATTTTCTTCAGGTGGATTCTTTGTTCATGTCATTGTTCAAAAGGCTTTATAACATATTCATAGATTGGTTACAAATACATATCAAGAGAGTTTATATCGTAATGTTTCTTTCCTTGTAAGTAGAATGAGTGGCATTTTGGGGAGCCAAATCGGGCGTTTCGGGACAGGCATATTAAGAAGAAATCTCCACCTGGTCGAGGAAAAAAGCCTCGCGATAAGAGAACAAAAAGTGAGTTGCTTTCTCCTTATCTTTCTGTTTGTTTCAACCATTTGAGTTATTTCCAACCTTCATTTTTCGTATCTTTCTGTTTTGTTTCAACCATTTTGAGTTATTCCTCTCATTTTGTAATTATAGGATGGCACAGAGATGGGAGCCTTGGCGACGATGAGTTTGACGCTGAGACTACATTCACTGACAAATTTAGAGAAAGCTGGTACCGTAAACCCCAATCTCAAAAGGTTTCTTCATATTCGAAAGACTCAACATCGGATTTTGAATGGAGAGAAGGCTTTAGCTGGACAAACCAATCTGAAAGAAGCAAGAACTGGGATGATGAGTCTTCTTGCGATGAAGAACCTCTAATCGTAGAATCCCGGTCTCAGAGGACAGTTCTCGGTTTACCTCCAAATGGTCCTCTCAAAATCTCAGATGTTAAGAACGCGTAAGTCTTTCGAGTTTGCTTCCATCATTATCAAAGAAATGATATGTATTCATTAAGAGTTTTCTTTGTTATTGCAGTTTCCGGTCTGCTGCTTTGAAATGGCATCCAGATAAGCACCAAGGGCATTCTCAGGTATATATATAATCTCAATAAAGTTTGCAGTTTTTTTTTTGTATCATTTGCAGAAATTTATTTGGTTATGTGGTGGGAATTTCACAGGAGGCTGCACAAGAGAAGTTTAAACTCTGCGTTGATGCATATAAGTCTCTCTGTTCTTCACTCACTTAACGTTTACAGAGAGACAAATTGGTGTCAAACCATACAAAAGATTGGTTTCGAAATTTAAACAAAACCATCCTTAGTCTGGTGAAATTTTCTGACTTTGTTAAAGTTTTGATGTTTAAACAAAAAAAATTCAATATATCATACCCAGTCTTTTTCTTTCTTTTTTTGCCTTTTTGGAGTTTGTGATGTGTTTATGGATGGTTTCGAATATCATAAAGTTATATGAAGTGGAGAATACGGTCCTGGATTCACTAGGTTCACACATTTAGAATCATTAGGGCACACAAGGAGGACTCACACTAATCAAAGAAAGCTTTTGCAAATCATTGTTGCACAATTTTAACGC